ATATATATATATATATATATATATATATATATATATATATAAAGTTTAACCATATAATCTTTTGGTGAGGCTGTAGACTGACAGGTACTTTTATATGTTGCAGGTGGGAATGTAAAATAATATGATTTGCATGAAAAAGAATTTAGCAATATCTAGAAAAATTATATATGTATTTTTACTTTGACCCAACCATCCTGCTGTTTGAAATGTCTCCCAAATTTATACTGGCAAAATAGATATGAGATGAGCTATTAATTGCTCTAGTGTCATGGTAACAAGACACTGGAGATGCCCATTTTTTAGTGGGCTGTTGAATAAGAAGTGGCCCATCCACACAAAGGAAGCTGTAAAGAAAATAAGAAATAACTGTGTGTACTGCTATGGAGTGAATTCTAGGATATGTGTTTGTTGAAAACCAACATGAAGAAAATTGTGTGTGGTATGTTACTACTTATCTAAGAAAGCTGAAGGGGGAGGGGATAAAATTACAGATATATGCTTATATTTTTAAAAAGGCTAACCCAAAACTAATAAAAGCAAAAAAAAAAAAAAAAAGCAGCCTTCTATAGGAGAGAGCAATCAGGGTAGAGAGGACAGGGATAGTAGCTACATTTTTTCTCTATATACTTTGGTAAATATGTCTTATTTTGTAAATTTTACATAATTATGAAATAAAGTTAAATTAAAAAATAAATACCTGAACATTAGAATCAAAATGAAACAAATGAGTCTAACTCTATATTGAGTAGATGCCATTACCACAGAGAGAGGAACTATTTCAAGTACTTAAGAAAACACACCAGTAACTTCACTATATATTCTTTATGGAGTATACCCAAATAACAAAAAATATTGTAAACTGTAATCACATTGTTGGTGGTAGAGGCAGTATCGTTGATCTAAAACTTTCTTGTGTGTGTTTTCTAGAATAAAGCAATTGGGCAATTATATTGAGGTATTTGGGAACCAAGATTTTTGCTATGGGAACAAAGATATACAAATGTAAGAACAGCGAGGTTCATTTAAATACCTTGAATCCTACCCTAGCCGGTTTGGCTCAGTGGACCTTGCTTGCAGGCTCAATTCCCAGCCCTGGTGTGTGGGAGGCAACCTATGGACATGTTTCTCTCTCTCTCTCTCTCTCTCTCTCTCTCTCTCTCTCTCTCTCTCTCTCTCCCCCTTCCCTTCACCTCCCTTCACCCCCTCCCTCCTAAAAATCAATGGAAAAATATCCTTGGGTGAGAATTAACAACAACAACAAAAACACCTTGAATCCTGAATTTGAATTGGAAGTACAACTATGAACTCACAGTATATTTTGTTGTTGTTGTTTTTTGTGTTTTTTTTTCCACAGTATATTTTATCTTAAATAAATAAAAAAGTATTTTCCTGCTTTATCTATTGAAAAAGCCTAGAAACAAGAACAAAATAGCAAAGAGTACCCAGATTATGGCATCTAATTACCACTTCCCACTAAAAGAAATCAGAGCTTCTTGGAAAAATGGCTGGTTCCATATTTGAAACAGAAAACATACAAGTTGAGCCTGGAACATCATGACATCCAAGAAAACAAGAAAGTTATCAAGGAATCCTTAAGTCATGCAAAAAGGCTGAGCAATCCAAGAGAAAGAATGACCTAGTCTCAGAAGTCATCCTGTCATTTCTGCCATATTGTATTCACTAGAAGTGAGTCACTAAGTCCAACCCACACTCAAGGGAAGGGAAATTAGGATCCACACATTGACGGGAGTTTCGAAGAATTGGTGGGCATATCCTAAAACCACCACGATTGGTCTCCTTTTTTTCTTTTGCTTTTATCTGCTTATGGCATCCTAAAGTGATAGAAACTCTAGTCTCAGAAATTTACCCTAATATAAAAAAGACTGCAGTCAGTTTTCAATATGTTGGGGGACTGTAACCTACATTTTTCTCATGAGATTAAGGTGTCTCCTTACTTATTATCAGGAGAGTCAAACTAAAAGGAACACTAATCCATATATATATATATATATATATATATATATATATATATATATATATAAATAAAAGGCTAATATGCTGACCAGTTGCAAGGACATGCACTGACTACCAGAGGGTAGATGCTCAACGCAGGAGCTGCCATGATGTGCACTGGCCATTTACAGAGAAACAGCACCACGGACCTGGGGCCTATAAAGCAACACTCAGCTTCCCCCAAGTGGGACACAGGCCCGGCCAAAACCCTGGAGTGACACCCCACTAAATTGCAGCTGATGGTGCCAAGACCCCATGGCACAAAATGCCACCCACAGCCCAACCCAGCCCATCCCAGAAAGGGTTGCTGTGGGCGCCGGGTAATGACATCATGTAGCAATGCCCGGCTTCCTCTCCCTAGCAACAACTAGCCTCCTTGCAGTTTCTTCAGCCCAGGAACACGACTTGCTTTATAGCCACGTGCAAACATTTCACACTTTAATCAAATGTCTGCGAGGCATTTTCCTGTGCCTCATCTCATTTGATCCTCACAGAAGTCCTGGAGTAGGTAGATAGGAGACTCGGTGGAACCCTATTTTCTTTTCATTAGCCAGAAAATGGAGATTTAGAAAGTTTAGAAATTTGACCCGACTGAAAAGAAGTAAAAAATGGTGGACCTTGAAAATGACTTCAGGTTTTCTCACTGCGCAGAATATAGTCAAACACTACTGCAATTAAGCATTTCACCCTTTGTTCTCCTTGCATGATCTACAATAATCTGCTTCGTGTTAATATTTACTGCTGTGTTGCTGACAATTACCTGAAAGAGAAGTTGGGGTGCTTCTCTGGGCTGGAAAAAGTTTAGCTACATCACAAAGCAGGTCTAATTAAGGAAGTTTATTCTATATATATAAAAAGCTAAGTTGACTTGTGCATGCGCGATACATATAAAGCTCTTGCTGGCGCCAATCGCACGTGTGTGTTTCAATCTGTCATTGTCAATCATGAATTTGGTTGACACTTCTATTATAGAGAAAGGGCGAATAGCGATATTAAAATATTTCTTCTAATTAATTTCCTTTCAATGTGCACAAATTTGTGCACCGGGCCACTAGTAGTATATAAAATAAATTATTTTTAAAGGTGAAAATAATATATTGAAACAATTTGAAAAAAACAGAAGGATGAAGATTTTTGGGTAAGAAAATACTGAAGGAGCCTGGCCAGTGAGGCTCATTGGTTGTGCAGTGACCTATGAACCAGGAGGTCATGGTTCGATTCCCAGTCAGGGCACATGCCGGGTTGTGGGCTTGATCCCCAGTGAAGGGTGTGCAGGAGGTAACCAATCGATGATTCTCTCTCATTGATGTTTCCATCTCTCTCTCTCCTTCTCCCTTCCTCTCTGAAATCAATAAAAACATATTTAAAAAAGAAAGAAAATACTGCAGGGTAGGGTAAATTCTGAAGGGTAAATTCATTTGTAGTATCACTAAAAATTCTCAGTGAGATTAAAGGAGAGCAAATGTACAGGATTGTTACAAGTAAATGAACAAAGGCCAACTCTTAGCTTCTTGTCTCCCAAATATCCCCAGGCTCATCATAATCAGAAATACTCATAGTAGGCTGGACATAATCCCATAGCTTCCTTGACTGGAAATCATATCTTGTGCAAAACACATGATATAAGCTTAACAAAAACACTGTTTCCTCCTCATCTCTCAGACATCGACCTGGTCTTATAGCAACTCTCGGATGCACTGTATCTTTCTTTTTGCATGTCTTTTTCCTCCATCATCTTATCTAATAATCTAATAAAAGAGAAATATGTAAATTGACCGTCTCTTCGCAATGCCCCACAGCCAATCAGGAGCGAGTATGCAAATCAATCCAACAAAGATGGTGGCAGGCCCGCCCCCTGGCCTCTCTGGGCCTCTGGGCAGCATGTCTCCTCAGGGCCTCCCTGCTGCGCTCCACATCTGTCAACCATCTTTGCAGCCTCTCTGTGGCCCAGCCCCCGGCCTCAGAGGCAACCTTCTGGTGCCTGAGGTCGTAGCTCCCGGTGTCTGGCATCTCCCTTTACCTCACCCCTGCCCCACTGCTCTGGTAAACAAAACCCTAGTGTTGGAGCAGCCCCACGGGCTCGGATGTGTGTGGGAGCTCGCTGGGTGCACAGTTAGCACGCCTGGGAGCCCTGGGCCAGCCAAGGGGCGATCGCTGGGTGCACAGTTAGCTCACCCCGGGAGCCCTGGGCCAGCCAAGGGGCGATGGTGGCGGCCGTGGCGGCAGCAGCAGGTGGCTCAGCTTTGTTTTGAATAGATGAAAGAGGCCACCTACACAGTAACCCAAATTATCAGATCTCCCTCCTCCCTATCTCGCCAAATCAAGAGGGGAGGGGCGATGGGCGTGGAGGGAAGGCGGACGGGCAGGAGGTGGAGGGCGGAGGAGGGAGAGGATGACGAAGGGGGCCAATTGCATCCCACTTTCACAATGGGAAAGTGAAACGCACCCAACCTCTCCAGTCCTCCCTGCCTCCGCAGCCAGGGGAAGGAAGGCCTATTCTTGCACGAATCTTCGTGCATCGGGCTTCTAGTATCAGATAATCTGAGTAGTTCTTGGACTCTGTGCAGCATGGTCACATGGGGTGTTTATTTAAAGACACATTTCTAGAGACAACCACACACCTACCAAATCAGAAAATCTTGGATTGTAGCCCAGGAATATGTATCTTTAAAAAGATCCACAGCGTGAATTTTTTTGTATGATAAAGCTCAAGGACTACTGGATTAGGCTGTGAACATCCTGAGAACAAGGTCTGAGTCTTACTTATCTTTGCA